ATTGTTTCAATCTACAATCTGTAACATGTTCATCATATTTGAAAACATATTCATTTAATTATGTAACATGTTCATTATATGTCAGTATAATAAAATAATTACGAAAAATTATGAAAAAATATGAAAAAATGAAAAATTAGTTGTGTTCAAAAACCTATCAAATGTGGTCTCTATTTATAGATAATGAAAAATTATGAATTTTGGTATTTTTATTTTATTCTTTTAATATAAATAATTAATGATATTTTAATTTATGTAATATGTCCCATTTTTTAATTAAAAAAAAAAAATTGGGGATGTGAACTACACTCTCCAAATTTCTCTAGTATTGGGTAGTTTTGGAGAGTAAAAGGGCGCGTGCAAATGTGCCCTGGCACACCTAGCTAGGTGTGCCAGGGCACACGGTAGTGGTACTGAGGATAATAGGGATATGTGAGGTGTGATCGCCACGTGTCATGCAATAGTTGGGTTGAAGTGATTTGTTAGTTTGCATGAATTGATTGTTAAAATGTTAAAATGTCTATAATACCCTTAATGAATAAATAAATGTTTTTTTTTAGCCACTAGATCATCTCATCTAATGACTATGATTTATTCTCATTTCTTTCATTGAAATCATTCTCATGTAAACCCAACCCTTTATATATATATATATAGGGGGCGGATCAAATGAGGCCAACTCTTAAAATGAGGCCAGCTCTTAAAATGCGGACACTAACCTTGCACAATCAGACAACTAACCTAGCACAATCAGACAACTAACCTAGCAGCATCAGACAACTAACATAGCAACTGCAGAAACTATGCATTTTCTAATTTTTTCCAATTGGTACATAAAATAAAAGATGAGAGCATTGTTATGAATAAAAAAACTTCGAAAATGAGTCTTGATTGGGGAGATATAGAGGTTTAAAAATACAAAAAACGTATTTTTTTCTTAAAAATGAAATTAAAGCAAGAAAAAAGGCTTTTTTTCGAAAATTCGGGCGGCCAAACCGCCTTCGGCTGTTTGCAGCTGCGTAGATCTCGTCGAGCTACCCCAAATCAAAAAAAAATTCGTCCAAAACGGAGCTTTCTACGCAAAGTTATGGTCTTCCAAAGTTTTGCAAATTGATAAAACTAACCTAGCAGAGATATATAACTATCATAGCAACAGAATATAACTAACCTAGCAAGAACAAAGACCTAAACTAGCACGATCAGACAACTACCCTAGCAGAAATATATAACTAACCTAGCAACAAGACACTACTAACCTAGCAACAACAGACAACTAACCTAGCAACAACACTACTAACCCGCTGAAGTTGGACATGGCTAAGGCGTATGATAGAGTGGAGTGGCCGTTCCTTAGG